GTGCTGGACAGAGCCACGGCCACCCTCCTCCACGGTGAGCTCGGGTGGCCCTCGCGGAGCCGCAGCCACGGAGGACGGGGATGGCTGATGGCTCTTGGTTGTCCCCTCCAGCCACCATCCTCTTGGACTCCATCAACCTGAGCCCGGCCGCTGGCAAGGTGACACCCAGGGACGTGGCGTGTGTCAAAAAAAAACGGGCTGCCAGCCCGTGCCACCATCTTCCAAACACTGCAAGCCACCAAGTTTGACGTCTCGGGTCCGTGCCCGGGGTGCTGGGATCCACTGGGACAGGCCCATCTCCCTGGGAACAAGGACTCACACTCAGCTCCTCTTTGCCTCCTAGGGCTGACGACGGAGCAGATGCTGCGGAAGGACCTCAAAGTCCTCTCCAGCGATGAGCTGGTCCTCGCCATCAGTGCCATCTACGTGGACCTGGAAGTGAGACCCAGCAGGGGAGGAAACTGAGGCAGGAGGTGGCACAACGGTGACACCGGGCTGACACCAGGGTCTCTCTTTCCCCCTCCAGACCTTCCTGCACAGGCCTGGTTTGCTGCAGGACCTGGATGCTTTCTGCCAGGCTCGGGGCTACACGGGGCTGGTGGCCATGGTTGTCCCTTACAACGAGGGCAAGGAGCTCACCCGGCAGCTCATGGTCTACAGCCAGCGCGAGACCTTCCGCAGCGCTGTGAGTTGGGGGCCAGACCCCCAGATCCCTCAGCACAGGGGCTTGGGGGAGCAGCCAAGCTCTGGTTCCCCCCCCAAAGCTGCAGGGTTTGGGGGTGCTGGGGGGGTCCCAGCACTCTGCTCCCTCCCTTGCAGGTGTGTCGGGCGCTGGAGGAGGCGACAACACCAGCCCTGCTCCTCCAGCCCATCCCCAGCCCCTGGTCCTGCGTCGCTGCCTACAAGCAGGGCAACACTTTGGCATCGAGGAAGAAGGTGCTGCCCATCCTGAGAGCAGCCCTGGCGGGGCCTGGTGCTGCCCTGGGGGGGCCGGAGGATGAGGTGGTGCCACCCCCGACCCCCATGAACAGCCTGGTGGAGGAGTGTCCCCTGGCACAGGCTGTGCCTCCCCTCTGTCCCCAGGACGTCCTGGAGCGCGTCAGCCGCATTGCAGCCGGGCAGCCCCCGGGCTCCCCAAAGTAACAGCACCAGCACCCCGTGGATTTGGGGGTCCACGCAGTGAGGTGGGGTCACTGGGCAGGTCCTGGTGGGGTGTTGGGGCACAGAGGGGGTGCAGCCACCGTCATTAGCACTCAGCTCCCTGATGGGGACAGGGCCCCGCTGCTGTTTGCACTCCCTGCCCTGATGGGGTTTGGTCCCCCCCAGGTGGGATTTTGGGGACCCCGTGGGCATTTGGGCCAGGGCAGCTCTCACATGCACTTTAACAAAGACACTGGGGGGGAGGTTTAACAGGTTCCTGCCAGGCTGCCTTGCTTGAGGGGGCCTGGATGGTGGGGCTGGACGTGCAGCCAGCCCGATGCTGTTCCCCACGTGCTCCGAGGATTAAACTTCCCTCTTCCACTCTTGGCTCTTGGCTCTTTTCTGGGATGGGTCCAGCGCTGCCCCGCTCACCCCAGGGAGCCCCCTCTTCTTCTGGGGTGCAAACCTCCCCACCACTCCCCTGAGGGGGATTCACCACGGTGCAGGACCCCTGCAGCTGAAAGGCCGGTCGGGCACAAGGCAGAGGCTGAAGTTCCCACTCCCTTTCCACTTCCAGGCTGTCTGCTGGGTGCTGTGGAAGGCAGCAGGGACCTGGTGGTCTCACCTTCCCTTGGTAAGCCCCACAACAGCCCCCCCCACCACGGGGATCTGTGCTTGCTTGGCCACCTAATGCTCCATCTGCATAGTTCCTCCTGGAAGGAAAACACACGTGTGTCCCCCTCCTTTCTTTGCAGGGATCTCTGCCCTGTCTCCCTTCATTCCCACCAGATTTTACTTGGGGGGGACATGCACCCATGCTCACTCTCTGTAGATCTTCTCAGAACAATCTCCTTCTGGCCTTTCAGGACCTCCTTGGATGTCGTGGAGTGACACCCAGGTCACGATGAACATGGGTGCAGAGCTTCAAGCAGTGCCAGGGCTGGTGTTCCAGCCAGGAAGAACTCCAGGCGTTGGCTGGACACCACCAGCAGCAACAAGCCAAGTTCACCAAGTGGTAGAAATGAGCAGTTCCTGTGATGACCCACATCTGATCCAAGAGCACCTTCTGTGTTTAGTCACAAGCTTCCCTGGTCTGAGCAGCTCTCCAGAGCTGAGCCTACATCAGGCATCTCCACCAGCTTCCCTCTGAAGAGTCCAGGTTGAGGAACACCCTTCCTCAAACCTTCCACGCTTCTCCACCATAACTAACCCCTGGAATAGCCTGGAAAAGGCCTTGCTGAAAGCCAGTCACTTCCCCTCTCTCCTTTCTCCCTATGATAGCAATGAGATCACACGAGATTCCACACTAACAACCTGGAACCTCCGTGGAAGAAAAAGGAGAGTCAGTTTGGTACCTAGGAAGAGGAACCCCCTCGGGGAGGTGCCTGTCAGCAAACCTGCATCCTCTAAGTAAACCCATGCAAAAAGAAGAGTATTTGCAAAGAGTTTCTCTAAGGGGGGAGTTCAGAATCTGGCCCCACCTTGTTTTTGCCACAAGTTTGAGGGAAAGAAGCAGAAAGACCCCATTTATCCTAAGAAATCTCAGCAGAAGGCTCCAAACCACTGCCTCAGCACCAGAGTTCCACTGGAGAGCACAGCACTGTTCTGATGGAGGTAGCCAAGATGGGAGGGGGCAGAAGCAGGGTTAAACCACCTCTCTACTCAGGAGCTGCCAAAAGGCAGGAGGAAAGGGGACTATGATGGTAGAGAGCTGCCTTAGGAGGGGAGCACACGACTCTTAGTGCGCATCAGCTCTGCAGGGGGATGGCATGAAAGGTCGTTGCCGTCTTGGCCTCTGAAGCCCTCGGGAGGGGGTGTAAACGTGAGGGATTGGGACCTGGGAAGGGGGGGGCGTGAAAAGAAAAGAGCCACCTGCCTGGAGATCATCTCTGCCGGGACTCGAACCCGGAACCTCTGGATTAGAAGTCCAGCGCGCTCGTCCATTGCGCCACAGAGACCTCACCACGGCTGCAGCATCCGCACCACAACTGAAAAACTCCGCATCTCCGGCATCGCTGGCGCGGCCCCGACCCCCGGCGCTGGGGCAGGAGGAAAAGCCCGTGCCCGGCTCCATCCCCCTCACAAATCCCCATCTGCAGCATCCCTGCTTCCACAGGCGCAGGATGAGCCGCGTCTCGCGCCGCAGCCGGGATGCAGCAAAAACCTGGATGCGGGCTCCTCTCGGCATCTCTTCCCGCAGCATCTCCCGCTTGCCTGAGGGCAGAGCGAAAGCCAGGAGGAGAGTTAATTGCTGCATCTCCCTCAGCATCATCGCAGCATCCTCAGAGCAGAAGCCAAGAGAGAGGAAGATGAAAGGGGATTTAGCTCACGGCACCCAGCACTTGACAGCGATGATGAAAGCTCTGTTTGTCATGATGAAAAATGCAGAAACCTGTGGTTTGAGCACAGAAAGAAGAGGAAAAGCAGCTACCGTGGGTTTATGTTCAACCAGCTGTCAATCAGGGCTTTAATGTTTCTCTCTGTGCAGCTCCCATTAGCAAAATGGCATCAAAACACCGGGAAATCTTTTACATCCACTGAGCTCCTATTAACAACGGATCAGACTCTGTGGCACGATTCCTTGCTGTGAACAAACCCGTTTTGCATTCCTAAACTGCAGGGATTTTAGGGTATTGTTTACTCCTAAACACGCTCCTTATTAAAGGCAAGATACTAACTGCTTCCTCACAGCACTAACAACCTCAGCACATCTAATGCAAACCCAACGAATTCGGGTTTCCTTTGCCGGATGCTCCGAGGCTTTGGAAACATTGACAAGTAAAATCCAGCTGGAAGTGATGGGAAAGAAGGCAGGGGTTTAACTCCTGTCAGACAAAACCCCTCCTGCGGCAAGAGATACCCAGTAAATCAATTACCCTTGATATAAGGAACTCTGGGAACCAAGTGTAAGCCCACCAGTACCTTGAGACAACTCGAAGTGTAAGAAGACACCTCCCCAGGGTGAGCAAAGGCTGTGCTTAACGGTTGCCATCCAAAACATCCACCTCAGACAAAGTCATAAAGCACCAATATAGAACAGAAGGGAAGAAACAAATCTCCCACAGCCCGTGGCTGCACCCTGCGTGTTCCTCCGGGGAGGAGCCACCTCCAGCTCTTTCAGTATGATTTGGGGAGGCTGCACCTCGAAAGCGGTGCCTGGAGTTGTTACCAAGCAAGCAGAAAAGGTGGAGATGAAGCATGACATGGCACAAACCTCAACAGAGTGACTGTGGCTTTATGGGCCACGAGTCAGAGGGGATTTGAAAGAACCCCCCTTCCTCCTGATAGAGCTGGATTAGGGCTTGTTCGAGCTCTGCCTTTCCCTTCTGCTCTCCTACATCTCCAGGTAACACACAGGGCACCCCCCCAAGAGCACCCCCTGGATCAGCAGCACTTGTACGAGTGCCACCAGAGCCCTTTCCTCCTCCTTGTCCCAGCACAGGGCACCAAAAGCTCTTCAACAAATAACTAGAAAGCAACGTGCAGCTTCCAAGTCCTCGGGCCACCCATCAGGCAGCTTTGTACCTGCAACAGCTTGGCCAGTCTTCCCCGGGGTACTGACTGTCCCTCTGTTATCTCCAGGCATGGAAAGCAGAGACTGGAGTGAGCAGGATAGGTGCTGGAGGATACCAACACACCCGTTTCTGTGGGAAGAGATGACAATGGAAGTCATTAAGATGCGTGTTTTGAGGCAAGAGCAAACCCCCTCTTTAGCTCCGGAGAGGGAGGTGTTTATAAGGCCAATGTCCCCAGCACAAACTGGCCCCCAGCTCATCCCCAGCATCAAATCATTTGCTGCACGCAGGAAAACCATAAGCCATGAGCAAGGATGTGGTGGCAACAGGGTGAACCAAGGTCATTTACTACCTTATAAACAGCAGGGAGAGGCCTTTTGCAAGACAAAGGCTTAAGCGGTAGCGCGGCTGTCTCAGCGGAGCAGGACGATGCCACCTCACGTCGAGTTGCTGCAGGGCAGCATCGTCAGCGCCGGGATTCCAAAACCCTCTTTGCACACCTCCATAAAGAGCAATAGAAAACCCTCCTCAGAGCTGGGGCTGTTTTGTCCTATCCCTGGCTAAAGGTTTTCTTGTATCCCCAACTACCTCATAAACCCAAGCGTCACCCAAGAGCCAGTCCCACCAAGCTAAGGGTAAAGCTTTAGAAGCTGAGTGCTTTGCAGGCCACCAAGCCCAATAACCCAGGTCTCCACAACTGGGTTTTCCCCAAATCCTTATGATTTGTCAGGGTGAAGCTGCCTACAAAGCAGCAAACAGCCTGTGCAGAGCTCGATAGTCGGTGGCGGCAGAGGAGCACATCACCCCCAGCCTGCAGACAGAG